GTTTCAGCAGCGGCTGAATAGGGGACCCCTGGGGCAGAGCAGCTGGGGTCCTGCCGGGTTCATCCCGCATCACTGTCCTTTGGCGCTGCGGGACGAACCCGGCAGCACTCCAGCAGCTCTACCCCAGGTGTCCCCAAGAGCAGCTGGGTTGCTGCCGGGTTTGGTCTACGGGACCAACCGGGGGCAGAGCCTGACTATCGTAAGGGGGGGCTATGAGGGGTGTGGGGTGGCATCCCCTCCCACCCCACTCCAGACCTCTCATAGCCCCCCCCTTCTGATAGTCCGTCATATCTGATAATCCGGCACCCCCTGGGTCCTAAAGGTGCCGGATTATCGGAAGTTTACTGTATTTATTGTAAGGTTAGTTATGTGTAACTCTAGATGCAGGACAAGTCATTCTTACTGATCTACTCTTAATTCTTAAAGTATATAATTTGAGAGTGTCTTGTTGTGTTTATAATTAGGGATGTTAGATACAGTAATTGAATAGTTGTGTAACTGCATCAAAATGTAGCACTTGCCCGACTTCGAGAATGTCCGGAGTCAAGGCCAGCAGCCAGTGTCAGGCAGCAGCACGGAGTGGCAGGCGGGAGCTGGTCTGCTAGGGGAGCTGATTTAAAAAAGTTTCCCCACAAAGACCAGAGGCAGAGGCAGCAGCGCAAGGTGGCACAGCCCCTGTCAATGAGGGATCTGAGCTCCCTGCAGACAGGCTCCTTAGACCCTGCTATGGATGGGCTGCTCCATTGAATGCTGGAGCAGCCTGTGTCTGTGGGGAACTTGGGTCCCCCATGGATGAGGCTGCTATTGCGGAGCAGCCTCCCCAATCCCCCTCCCCTAGGCTGTTGCCTCTGACAGAGGAAGCAGCACGGGGAGAGAGGCAGCTGGCACTGGTTCCTGCGTTCTGTAGGAGGCTGTGTGGAGGCGGGCTGGTGGGTCCACAGAGCTGACACACATGGAGAACCAGCTTAAAAGCTAGCACCCTACACATCGGCTCCTTCCTGCTCCCCTTTTCCTCCATGCTGTTGTGCCTCTATTTGCCCAGGTTTATCAGTTAATCATGTAGTTGTTTACACGTTGATATCCCTATTGATTATATTAAAATATTGCCTGATGCAGAGATGCCCATGAATCCTCTTAATATCTTTTTGTTTAGCAGTCTCCACTATTACATGATATTCTATGCTAGACAGAGGGAACAAAATAATTTAAAATAATCAAGAAGGAACTGCAAGAGTTGAAATGTGGAGTTTAAATACATTAGTCATCTTTTCCATTGTGTATCTCTACAGACAAATTTAGACTTAGTTTATAATAACAATCACCAATTCCCTCCCACTAAACTAGTGTGTTATCCAGTGATTAAATTATTAACTTGATTTCAATTTGTATCCAGAGGAATATTTCAATACTGCTTTGAGCAATAGACAAACTTGTAAATGATTGGAGTAAACAGGATGTTTATAATAGCTTTCTAAAGATAAACTTTGGTTTTGTTTTTCAGAAGAGCAGTCTACAGAAACAATCTCTCTCTATCATTATGGTATCAAGGACTTGGCTACAGTTTTCTTCTACATGTTGGTAGCAATAATCATCCATGCAATTATTCAGGAGTATGTGCTGGATGTAAGTACAAAATATGCATTTCTTCAGTTAAGATAAATATTGTATGAATTACTGTTGTAAGATTTAATTAGAATGCACAGCTACATTGCATTGAATTTTAGGTATTTCGTGGAAATAGTACATATGAAACATCTAACCATTTTCCCCTTAAAACAAATGGGTCAACAGGTGTATCAATAATATAAATATCTTTTGTTTTAGAAAATTAACAGGAGAATGCACTTTTCCAAAACAAAACACAGCAAGTTCAATGAATCTGGACAACTTAGTGCATTTTACCTCTTCTCGTGTGTTTGGGGCACAAGTATTCTTATCTCTGTGAGTATAATTTTTATCTTTCTTTTACATTGTCAGATCTCAAAAGCTTGTTTGTAACTTTTGTGCTATGAACATTACAGTACTGTAAAATCTCGAGTATAATGCGCACTTCTTTCCGATTTTTTTCTGGGTCAGTCGGTACACATTATACATAGCAGTTATTTTTTAAAGTTTTATTTTGGCTCCCGGACAAGGCGAGGAGCTGGCGGCACCACCAGGCTGCAGCACCTTGGCTCCTTCAGGCTGCGCCCGGGGGGGCCCATGGCAGGCTGGGAATGGAGAGAGAGCCACAGAGCATGCCGCCCCGGAGAGTGAGCCGCAGAGCACGTGGCCCCCCGGGAATGGCAGGGCACGGGAGGAGAAAGCGGCGAGGCACTCTGCCGAGGGGCCGCCAACTGCCCTGGGGTGTCCTGGCCAGGGCCGTCCCCCCTACTCTTGGCTGCAGCTGCCGATGATGGCCGGGTCCAGGCTGTGGGTCTTGCGGAGCCTCCACTTGAAGAGGCTCTTGGAGGAGGTAGCTGCACCCGGGGGCCCCCGCGGCAGGCATGAGCTAGGCGCAGCGCCCAGGGCCAGCTCCAGGAAGTGGATGAGACTGGGCTTGGTGCTGGCGGACCTGTTGGCAGGAGTGTAGATATATAGGTGCGCATTATATATAGGAGTTCAGTTTTTTCCCTGATTCTGACATTGAAAAAGCAGGGTGCGTATTAAACATAGGTGTGCATTATACTCGCGATTTTTACGTTAAGTGTATTACTGCCATGTATTTTAATATTAGATAATAGAAGTCTTTTGCATGATGTTGTGTTTAGAGCTCTGTCACAGCCAGTGCTTGTGATTGTAGATTTTAGAGTTTCTGCCTTTCAAACAAATCAATTTCTGAGTATTGGACTGAGTCAGGATTCCTTATCTTTGTTCTATGACTATACACAAGTGACCGTACTTCTCATTACTTGCCTCTAAAATTGAATATATCTTTCCTTTACTTTTATTTATATCTATCTATATCTAGCTATCTAATATATACATAAAAGGAAAGATTTTCCTACAGGATAACAGAGTGATATCATCACGTCACTCTGCGTCCTGCCTGCCTCATCCCCCTCTCCAAGCTCAAGTCTAACCTTGCTGCTTCCCCTCAACACCTAGAATAGCTATTTTAAATCAAGCCCCTACTCCCTTTCCTCCACCCCACAGGGCTTTCTACACCAAGAGACATGGCACAGTAGCCAGCAGACCCCACATGACAGCTGTGGGGTATGGTGCTGGGGACAGGTGCTAGGGACAGGGCTCTGAGCCTGGCTTACATGCCAGCAGTGGGCTGGTGGGTGCTCCTGCACCACTAGGTTCTTGGGGAGCTGGAGCACAGTGCCCAACCGCCCGGAGTCCAGCTGACCTCTTGCAGAGTTGCCCCTCCACAATGGCTGCATTTAACACGGCAACCAGAGCACCCCAAGCTGCCCAAGGGAGCCGCCACACCGACTTGTCTGCTCCTTCCCATCTGCTCATGACGGATTGCTCTGGCCTCTGCGGGCAGGGTTTGGACAGTGAGCAGCAGAGGCAGGACTGCACGGGTGGGAGGTTGGGACAGTGCCCCCTGTGCTTCTGCTTTCCCCACCTCAGCAGGTTGCAGTGCCCCAGACCACTGCGTGCACATGGTACTTGGGCCTCGCTGCGCTCCACGTAGGGCAGGCAGGCACCCTTGTGTGTGCTGCAACTGGGGGGGTAAGGGAAGGGAGACCTGGGTTGGCGTGGCAGGGGTGGGAGAAGAGGGGAGGACAGAGAAGAGGGCCCAGGCTGGCATGGTAGGGGAGGGAGAAGGGACCCTGGCTTATGGGGAAAAGGGGTCTGGACTAGCGTGGCCATAGCCCAGTCCTCTTCCCCCCCCGCCACTGGGGGAGAGGTGGGGAGCACAGCGAGCAGAAGGCAGAGCTCCCTAGTTTCTAGAAGCAGATGTCTTTTTTTTTTTCTTGTCCCCGGTAACAGTTGCATCAGCAAGTGTTGAGTAACTTTACTAGTATAGTTATCATTATAGATATGCTGGAACTAACTCCATGTATGAATAGAAGAAGAACATAGTAAGAGTGCATTTTCTAGTTTCACTTGTACTGCTTCCAAATGTACTGTAAATGAGAAATGTGGCAGACTTTCATCACAGGCTTCTGTATTTATTGTCTGTGCTGTGATTGAAAGGTAACCAATAGTGTTATGTATTTTCAGGAGAACTATGTATCAGATCCAATGTCTCTGTGGAAGGACTACCCACACATGATGATTCCGTAAGCTTTATTCCTTCTTCAGTGTTTGAAAGTAGTATTAATTCTTCAAGTTTTATAGCGTGGACTAGATACTTGGTTTACACTAATGGGTGGAGTGATGGAAGTGGTTAAAATCTCTTCTTAGAACTTGATGCCTCACTACTTTAATGAAATTACCAAAAAATCGTATTTCTTTAGGGCAATATTAGCAATTTCATTGTTTTGCAGTAAGCTGTTAGCCAGTTCTTTTAATATCTTTTTTTGGATCATTATTGCTATCTGAAAACCTTATTTCTGGAAATAGTATTGAGAAAATGCTGTATTTGTTTTATTGTAACTAAGTTTAAACAACTGTGTAGAAAACTTTTGAGAAGTGTCTCTTTGGACTATAGTTAAAAATATTTTTATTTTATTGCTGTACTGTGCAGGTTTCAAATGAAGTTTTTCTACATCTCACAGTTGGCATACTGGTTTCATGCTTTTCCAGAGTTGTACTTCCAGAAAACCAAAAAAGTAAGTTGAGAATTTCTTATCTTAATGGTGAAAATATTGCTGTGCTTTCATAAGTCCAGAATGAGGGTTTCAGCATGATTATAAAATTTAAATGTTTGTTTTAGCCAGTATCTTTTTTTTTGTAGAACAATATCTGAATATGCTTTTGATTTTCTGTATCAAAAAGCTGATTAGATAGCTGCATATTTATTGAAGAATGTGTTGAAGCATTTTTCTAAGTAGCTACTTGAAATACCTGTAATTGTTTCAATATCTCCTTTGTCAATAGAGCTGTTTTTCACAGTGGAAACTATCATTGTAATACTGCTTCCCTGCAATCTGTATTTGCAAATAGAATTGTCCTTCTAACACACACTTTAAAGAACTGCAAATCAAAAATTAATTTACAAGAAAAACTCTCCATTTTAACTGTTCAACTGTTAACATTTTTATAACAATGTTATTCATAATTTTCACCCTTTGGGTGAAAGTTGAATTGAAACGGTTAGTCCAATATGGCGCATCACTTCCATCCCTATAAAACTTAGATTTCCTTACTGACTAACGCTCACAGATATTTGAGTGATTAAAAAAGGAACTTGCCAAGACCATGAATACCACAACACAGGGAGCTTTCAAGTATGTTAGATTCATTCATGGTTGACAAAAGTCAATGAAAATCTTACCGTTATCGTCTTTGGACTCCTGAAAAATGAATAAGAAGGGTAGTTGTCAATAAGCTAGGTATGGAAAGAAGAAGATTATGGTTAAAGGGATCATTGGGGTCTGTTTATACCATGTTGCAAGCCTTTTACATTCACAGAACTGGAAATCCTTCTGGCAGATTTCTTTAAAGGTAATTTCCATGGTGCTAAAATAGCATAATTCATAACATTAATACAAAGATAAAGAGGCCTCATACCAAGGCTGTAATGCAATAACTTATGTTTCAGGCCCTTTTCCTACTACAGAAGTTAGGATAGACTATACAGGCAGTCCCCGAGTTACGCAAACCAGGGAGACGGAGCAAAGCCGTGGAGGACGCGGGCGGTCCCGCCACCCGTGTCTCCCTGGTCTGCTGGGGGGAGGGGGGGATGCAGCTAGTGCGCCCCCCCCGCCCCAAGCAGACCAGGCTTTTCTCACCGACGACGCCTGGGATAGAGCAGCTGGGGCGCTGCCGGGTTGGTCCCGCAGCGCTGCACCTCATGCCAAACAAAAGGGCAAATATTGTGCCCATCTATAAAAAGGGGAATAAGAACAACCCAGGAAATTATAGACCGGTCAGTTTAACGTCTGTCCCAGGGAAGATAATGGAGCAGGTAATTAAGGAAATCATATGCAAACACTTGGAAGGTAATAAAGTGATAGGGAATAGCCAGCATGGGTTTGTGAAGAACAAGTCATGCCAAACTAATCTGATAGCTTTCTTTGATAGGATAACGAGCCTTGTGGATAAGGGAGAAGCGGTGGATGTCATATACCTAGACTTTAGTAAGGCATTTGATACGGTCTCGCATGATATTCTTATTGATAAACTAGGCAAATATAACTTAGATAGGGCCACGATAAGGTGGGTGCATAATTGGCTGGATAACCGTAGTCAGAGAGTTGTTGTTAACGGTTCTAAATCCTGCTGGAAAGGGATAACAAGTGGAGTTCCTCAAGGGTCTGTTTTGGGACCCGTACTGTTCAATATCTTCATCAATGATGTAGATATTGGGATAGAGAGTACGCTTATTAAGTTTGCAGATGATACCAAACTGGGTGGGGTTGCAACTTCTTTGGAGGATAGGGACATAATTCAAAATGACCTTAGCAAGTTAGAGAAATGGTCAGAGGTAAACAGGATGAGGTTTAATAAGGAGAAATGCAGAGTGCTCCACTTAGGAAGGAACAATCAGTTCCATACATACAAGATGGGAAGCGACTGTCTAGGAAGGAGCATGGCGGAAAGGGATCTAGGGGTCATAGTGGACCACAAGTTGAATATGAGTCAACAGTGTGATGCTGTTGCAAAAAAAGCAAATATGATTCTAGGTTGTATCAACAGGTGTGTTGTAAGCAAAACTCGTGAAGTCATTCTGCCGCTCTACTCTGCACTAGTTAGGCCTCAGCTGGAGTACTGTGTCCAGTTCTGGGTGCCACATTTCAAGAAAGATGTGGAGAAATTGGAAAGGGTACAGAGAAGAGTGACAAGAATGATTAAAGGTCTAGAGAAGCCTATGAAGCCAGGCTTCATGAACTGGGCTTGTTTAGTTTGGAAAAAAGAAGATTAAGGGGGGACATGATAGTGGTTTTCAAATATCTAAAAGGGTGTCACAAGGAGGAAGGTGAAAATTTGTTCCTCTTGGTTTCTGAGGACAGGACAAGGAGTAATGGGCTTAAAGTGCAGCAGGGGAGGTTTAGATTGGACATTAGGAAAAAATTCCTAACTGTCAGGGTGGTCAAATATTGGAATAAATTGCCAAGGGAGGTGGTGGAATCTCCCTCTCTGGAGATATTTAAGAACAGGTTAGATAGACATCTGTCAGGGATGGAGTAGACAGAGCTTGGTCCTGCCTTGAGGGCCGGGGGCTGGACTCGATGACCTCTTGAGGCCCCTTCCAGTCCTATGATTCTATGATCAGATGCTTCAGAGGAAAGTGTTAGACGTACAAAGCTGTAAGTTGGGTCTACATAAGATTGGTTTATGCCTTGAGGAATGAGTTTATAATCCCTTCAATTTTTGTAAGTAAGCATGGCTATTCCATTTTCCTTCCAAGTGTCTAATTTTTTTAATCCTGCTAATTTCTTGACAACACAATATCATTTAGGCCAAATATTTTCTCTATATACTATTATGTTTTATGTAAACAAAGTTAACTGTGGTCTTCTGATTTAGTAAAGACAAATGTTTGAGTTTTTCCTTGAAGTTTCCATTTCAAACTTTTGTTTAATTAGTAGTTTAAGCTTTCACTAAAATATTTTTTTCCATGACTGATGTTTATTACTGCATTGGTAACAAATATTATCTTATTTGCCAACTTCAGGGAATCCTAAATAGATAGATAATCCTATCTATTATGCCATGGGGGTAGGGTACTGGACTTGATGACCTCTCGAGGTCCCTTCTAGTCCTAATATTCTATGGTTCTGTGATATCTTTAACCCACATGGTCAGCTCAAGAAATTTTAAGAGGCACATTTTTGTTTAATTTAGTAAAGGGAGTTAGAGTAAAATAAAATATTGTATACAACCCAGTATACCTTATCTTGGGTTGTGAATAGATGTGAGTTCAGTAGCATAATTTGACGACTTCAAAAATGTATATTTTTTCCAAAAAACTAACTAGTTTCAGAAGTTATTTTCACGAAGAGAAGTAGAAAAGACTTAAGCCATGTCTATGCTATGAGAAGGTTGACTTTTTAGCACCTGATTTTGTGAAGTCAGTGTGTCCCCATTGTGTATAAAAATTTGACGTAGTTTGAAGTAGGGCATCCTTAGTAGGATGGCTACTGTCAACTTTGAGAGAGAGTTATCCAGCAGTGCCAGTGCCTCTTTGCATTCTGGGTTATGTTCCTAGTTCAAGCTGGGACCAAAACTGTGCAGTGGGTGGTTCTGGGTAGGTCATCAGCGTCCCATAATGCAATTGTTTTCCACTTCTCCTCCCCCTCCCCACTTGAAAGCAACAGCAAACAGTCTTTTTGTGCCCTCTTTTACCTTGATTATTTGCACAGATGCCATAGCAACATATGGCGTGTAGTGTAGGATCGTATGGGTGACTCTTTAATATTTGTAAGTGCTTTATAATTAATCTTAAATCACTGTGTCTCCTTTCACTTTCTCTGGCCCTACTCTATTCTTATCTTTTCCTCCTGCCTTTTCAATCTCATCCTCTCTACTCTTTTAGCTTCCATGTGGTGTGATCCAAATGGAATCAGTTAATCCTAACTTGAAGTGTTGGCACATATATGGGTATAATTGCTATTTCTAGTAATAAAATATACTATACTATTATAAAAGGAAGCATTAATGTGTCTGAGCTAGAGATGTAAACTCACATTTAATCAGTTAACCCAGTTTAATCTTTGGAAAGGTGGCGGGGGACCGCTGCTGGCAGGCGCAGGAGACTGCCAGTTGGTGATGTTTACCATGTAACCAGTTAACCGATTTACCCATTCACATCCCTAGTCTGAGCAACCTAAATTAAATTTACACAGTTTGTGACCATGAAAACATTGTGTCCTGTAGACTAATTCAGTCTTCTGTCCAATAGGAAGATATCCCTCGCCAGCTTGTCTACATTGGACTTTATCTTTTTCACATTGCTGGAGCTTATCTTTTGAAGTAAGTTGGTTTTAAACTAAATTTCATTGGATTTATTTTCTACCATAAATATTTCATAAAATGTTTGAATACTTGGTGTGCTCTTGTTTTGATAGCCTCACCCGTCTTGGACTTGTTCTTCTGGTGTTGCATTACTTCGTTGAATTTCTCTTTCACATCTCCCGCCTTTTTTACTTCAGTGATGAAAAGTATCAGAAAGGGTAAGTATTTATCATAACTTCAGCAAAAGAAAGTTTGTGGCTGACAGGTTTTCTGCAGTTCATCACCAAGAAGTTGGTATTTCTGTTGCACAATGCCCACAATAAAAAAGTTCAGTTAGAATTTGCTTTGCCTTCAGAAGTGCGGCTTCTATTTCTAATTTAGAGTGTGCTATAAAACAAGTAATTTCATCTTACCCTGTTTACCCACTCAAACAGTTGTAGATAAAGCAAAATTTTGTTCCTTATTTTATAATTTATGTTCAGACATGCAAGAAAATTGTAATGGTATACTTACTATGTCACCAACATTGACATAATTCCAAATTAAATTCTTCAAATTCATAGCTGCTAAAAAGTATCTGTTTCATTGTTTCCCCAGTAATAGAGAGCACAGTCATTGATTTTACAACCTTCTTGTATTTGGTGGAAAATGGAAGTTAAAGGCTCCACTGAGAGGTTTTTTTTTTTCCTATTAAGCTTTTAGCTTACCATCAAAATTATTAGCTGTCAATTAACAACTTTATTGTACCCCTGAAAAATAACATTTTGAAATTGGATAGTATCTAGTGTTTGCTTATGCTTATCCTTAAAATTAGGCATAAATGAGAGTGCTGTTTATGACATAACTTTATGTATCTTAAATGTGGTGATAGTCTATTGCCATTTCTTTTTTGTAATTAAAAAAAACCTCAATTATTGCAGCAATTTCCTTACTTACAGATGTTATATAGCCCCTCATAATGGAAATAAATAGTAAGATTAATGGTTTTCTGATGTAATCCAAGTAATGAATATGCATTTTTATTGACTTGTGGCATTTTCTTTGTAGGTTTTCAATGTGGGCGGCTCTTTTTGTTTTCGGAAGGCTTCTGACTTTGATTCTTTCTGTTCTTACTGTTGGCTTTGGTCTGGCGAGCGCAGAGAATCAGGGCCTGAATTTAAATACTGGAAATTTTAACATGCTGGCTATCAGGTATGGTAAATTCCATATTTGGAGAGATTTGTGCACAAGATTTTTGTCAAAATAACATACTATATATTTTTATATATTTTTGTCAAAATAACATACTATAATCTTGCCCGTTTTTAATTATTTCTGATAAGTATTTTGAAATTACCAAAATAATTGAAAATATCATATTGTTACTGTGTTGTTTTGACAAAATATGCAGAACTTTGCAGAATTTTAATTTAAAAAAAAATTTTTTTGATGTAGAAACCTGGTATTTTTAAGGGAATTTTGCACGGTACAATCTGGGTATGAGCAGCTCTGTAGGGCGTCTAGGTTGGGGGGGAGGAGTAACTGGATGCACGGGGTTTGTGGTAGGGATGTTAATTGTATATTTGTGTAAACATGCAACCAGTGACATTTGAGCGTTTACGCACGGTGGGCAGGCGAGCACTGGCTCCTGCATCTCCACACACAAGTAAACGCACACACCCTGTGCTTGGCTGTGATGAGGGCAGGCGGCTCTTTGGGAGCCCGTGCTTGTTCGGAGCCAGATTATAAAATGACTCCCCCCCGAGCATCAGCTCCTGCCTCCTCTACCCTTGCACTGCTGCCTCTGTGGGAAGCAAGGGGGAGTGGGGGGGTTAACTGTTAAGATTAAGGAATAAGCCCAGGTTTATCTGTTAATCATGTAAATGAGTACATGCTAACAATCCTAGTTCATTGGGGGAGGGATTCAGGGTGCAGGAGGAATTGGGACTCTGTCAGGAAAGCCAGGTGTTGGTGGTTAGACCTCAGCACTGGGGAGACTGAGTGCAAAGGGGGTGGGGTGGTCAGGGTGCAGCTGGCTGGGGCTCTGTAGCGTGGGAATTGGGGGGAGGGGCAACTGTTTATGAAGAGGCTGAGATCTGCGGGGTGGGGGCTCGATGAGCAGGTACTGGGTGTGAGGGGCTCCTGGTACAGATGGACATTGGTGGGGGGGGTTTTCAGGCGTGCAGGGATGGGTGCTGGTAAGTGGTGGGATCTAGATGCACAGGTGTTAGATGGTCAGAGGGAGTGGATCCCTGTACAGAGATCTCTCCCCCAGTGACTGAGGAGTGACGGACCAAGGAAATTGGGGGAGGGCATCCCTGTGTACAGGGAGCTGTTCCCTTTGACCACCCAACTCCTGCACTCATACTTTTCTGCCAAGCCTCACTTCCCCACCTTGCAGCCAAACCCCACTGGAACTGCTACCCCACTGACTTCAACTACTGCACCCAGACACACCACTCCTCCCAGTATAGAACTTCCTGCAGTCAGGGAGCTTTCTGGGTGCCATCTGACCCAATCCCAGCTGCTCCATGCAGCGTTTTGGTTATCCGTGGTAACATGATACAGTTAGGAGCCATGCTATTGTCATATCCTGTAGGGTACTATGCTCACTCTGCCTTTCAAGGTTTTAATTTGTGTATGAAAATACTGCTGGTGTCCGTGTTATCTTATGGAATAACTTCATAGTTTCATGGGACATAAAATACAAATCTATGCTTTTCGCATAACCATTGCCTGCTGGTAATCTGAAGAGCTTTTCTGACAAACATGGGAAAGGAGAGAGCATGCTACAGGAAGTAGTCAGAACCAGACTGATTTGTGTCTCATAAAAACACACGATAAAAATGAGTATTTGCATACTGGGAAGAGTTTTTAACTTGTCTTTTGCAAAGAATCATTGTTTTCTGGCTTTCATGTCTGAGGAAATTATATACATGTCAGAGCAAATCAGTGGCTTCTCTTGACAAATACAAAGCTTGAGGGTTAGGTGTTTGGTAAACTTGACAAACTTAGTGACATGCTTTCATCTGCTAATTGTTTACATGTCTACCTCTGCTGTGTCTTAAATCTGTTTATAGAATCATTGTACTGTCATCAATCTGTGGAACTCAAGCCTTTATGATGTGGAAGTTCATTAATTTCCAGCTTAGAAGGTGGAGAGAACATTCTTCTCAGCCTCAATCACTGAAGAAGAAATTTGTAACAACTAAAGGCAGGCCATCCAAAAAAGAGAGAGGTTTGTGTTGCAAGATTTTTCTTTCTGAGGACAGAGATTAAAGTGCTGTTGTCTGCTGTGTGACGAGAGATTTTTGGTTTTGCCACTTGAATTCATACTGGATAGAAATTAGTATTGGTGGTTGATGGCAAGGAGGGATAACTTTGTTCTCACTGGCTATTTATAATCCAGATAAAAATACGAAGGGTTGCTCTCAAATACTCACCTGACCAGTTTGCCAAATTAAAGGGATATCTTAAAAATCTGTAACTGTTTTAAGACTTTGCAGGTCATCTCTGAATTGCATTTTGTTTTTTAACTCTCAGGCCGCAAAGACATATGAGTAATCCTTTTTTAAAATTTCTTTTAAAATTGGCTGTGGGGCTTATGCTTTAGTTGGCACCAGAGAGGTGTAAACGTTAGTAACCAATAAGCTAGTGTGAATAAACTGTCCTTCTTGGACTCTTGCTGGTGTGCACTAGCAATTCACTGGTGCCTGTTACTGTAGTCCTGAAGCAATACAATGTAAGAGGCACAAGATAAGGTCTAGTATATCCCAGTAAGGTCCACAATAGGACAGTTAGTGTGTAGGTTGACATTTACACCTCTCTGGTTCTCGGGCAACATGTAGGCAGTTTGCCTAAGAGAACAATTGGCCATTTTTGGAGTTACAGTGTGATGTAAGACTTTAGGCTCTCTATTTGTTCAAGTAAATAACAGGCTCTTCCCGCTGGGTTTGCAGGTTAAAGTAAACTGGATTTGTGCTTCCAAGCCACTTAAGACTCAACTTCAAGCTCCTAGAGTTGAAAATTTATATTTATTCATCACATTTCTATTATTCTCACTATTATTTTTTAAAAATCAAACAGAAAACCTGAGTTTATTTACATTGTAATCTAATTAGTTTTACAATGATTCAGCTTCAATTTTAATCACTTTTTAAAAAATCATGTGATATTAAAAATCATAATAAAAATCATTAAGTTAAGCTGTAACATCCTCTCTGTGTGATGTAGGTGAGTACAGAGGTGTCCAGGACACAAACTTCAGGTTGGATATTGGTACATCACATATGAAAACACCAAAAGACACTTAACTTGAATTGTTGTATTTTAACAAACTACATAATTTTAGATGTTGTAACTACCCTTGGAGCCTTCTGATAGCTTTTGAGGATTTATAACTACTTTTCCCATTTAATTTTTGTCTGTTTTGTTCCTCTGTGAAAAACCATGGGAGAGGGGGAAAAATTAAAGGAAAAAGTGCCTTAGAATTCTTCCAAAAGTGTCTTTTCTTCCCTTTAATATTATATACAACTTTATTTCCATTGTGAAGACTTAAAGCTGCTCAATCCTGGCAGGGATATGTGTTAAGTTCATGTAATTGAGTGCAGCAAGCCCTTCACATGCCAACATAAGGTTGTGTCAGAGGTAGCTGTAGAATTAAAATGTATACATAATGAGATTGAGACTTTGGTGATTGTGTGGGGTTGGAGCTAGATGGATTTATACGTATATGCTACCCTTTCTCTAGGAAGAGAATATAAAATGGTGTGACAGGTCCTGGTAGTACAGAGATTTGGTCCCAACTTTTTTCTCCCAGTGCGAGAGTATTTGACTTGTGTCCCTTTTTTTCTTCCTGGCTTTACTTGTTTCAGATAAAGCCCAGAAGCAAGCCAACAGGGGACCAGTAAGACAGACTAATTTAGTTACTTACCCATGATTCAGGCAGAACTGAGTCTTTAATATGAAATTGGAATGTTGATGGGTGGTTTGCATTCAAGGTCAGCAGAAGCTTGAGTTATTGCAGGTGACTGCTGTACTGTCAAACGTATGGATGTGATTATTAGGACCAAACTGTTGTCTGCTCGTGGGTGTTCTTGTGGTCATATTGGTGGGTGGCAACCTTTAGTTAGACAAACTACAGGAATTCCCAGTTCTGTGATGTTGCTGTTGCTCCGTTCTGCTGGGGATTCTAGGATGCAACAATGAAGTGTCACTTCAGTTATGAGTGGTGGGTTTTTAGCATTCATCGTGCCAGAGTTAGTGTGGGAGAGTGCCAGATGGTAGTGATGTGGAAAGTGGTTTGGCAAGGAAAACTAAATTTAAAGCCCCTATGGCACTTTGCCTGAATCTGTAGATTCTTCAGATGTTGTCTACCATGGTTTATTTCAGAATATACCCAACTTAATTGCAAGGGTACAGCGGTTTTAAGAAATCCACAGCCTAAGGACACACTATTGGATAGTCAAGGGTTAAAAAGGCTTAATTTCCAAATCTTGTTATGGAAGCATAGTAGAGATGGTTTGGGAGCTGGATGGATCTTGGGTTTCTTTTCAGGAGCTATCTTTTCTGAATTTAAGGTTGCATAAGTGCCTGTCTGAGCTGGTATTTTCGGCATTTTCAAAAAAAAACAAACCAGAATGAAGAACTACAGGCAGTCCCCGGGTTACATACAAGATAGGGACTGTAGGTTTGTTCTTAAGTTGAATCTGTATGTAAGTCGGAACTGGCGTCCAGATTCAGCCGCTGCTGAAACTGATCAGTTTCAACAGTGGCT